GATACGCTGAGGATAACGCACTTTCAGGGCCACTAAGAGCTGGATGAATGTAATAATCATTATCAGCATCAAATTTTAAAAGCATGAAAATAATGAAAAATTGCTAAACAGACATCAGATGGCACACATTTTTAAGGGAGAAAAAAAAAACCAACTTTATACAAAGCTAGTCAAAAATTGAAGCATTGTGATTTGACAAGATTTGGCCCCTAACTGGATGGATTGTCTTGCCAAATCATGACTGGCGCCCTTATATGATATATATCATAAACAATGCACTCACCCCAATGCTAGCCTGAATTCCATAGATTGTCACTCAGAATTTCAAAGAAAATTTTATTGACTGATTAAAAAGGGATAGTGCCTTTAAATCAAATGTAAAGCACTTACATAAAAGTAATATTGTATATGCACACACAATATTCATTTACTTAGTGATTTTTAAATCAACACCGAGAGTTTAGGAAGTTCTTTTTAAAACTTAGAGAAGGCAAACAACCTTACCCTTCCGCCCATACACTAAATAAAATGATGCAAAATGAAAACTGTGCCAAGCTTTTCACAAATTGAGCACCAAGTGTTGAGAATCAAAATATAAACAAGGCACTGGAATATCTCTTTATTAGTTGTTCTTGTACTTGTCTGTGCATATACTAGAATGGGAACTGAAAAACAAATCTACAGCAGTACTTCATGATACTGCAATTTCAAATGATATTTTGTCAGGACCATAAGAAATCCAGTAAATTGATGGTTACATACCGTCACAGTTTCAACAGAATAATAACCACGGTCCACATAATCTCCCATAAACAAGTAATTGGTATCAGGACACTGTCAAAGAAAATAATATCATTTAGACAGACCTTGATAAGAAGGTTGACAAATAATAATCAAAAGTATATTTTAAAACCCAAATAAAGGAAGACAAGACCGACACAGAAGAATTGAATAGAAAAGGTCATAGTCAGAACTGATACCTTCCCTCCAATTCGAAAAAGCTCTGCCAGGTCATGAAACTGCCCATGAATATCACCACAAATTGTCACTGGGCTTTTCACAGGCTGTATTACATGAAAATAAAAAATTAATGTCACCCTGTATAATTTGAAAGATCTAACTATTCAAGTGAATTTCAAACAGAGCTGTATTGCAATGATAGTGGATAGTGATCAACCATAACATTACAACAAATAACAATATTACAGAAAGAAATTAAAACCTTCCTGCACATAAAGTAGCCATTCCTAAGCCAACATCAGATCAACTAGTTCAGATGAATAACAATATTAACACTTTTATCTCATTACACTAATCTCTTTTAACCAATACTAGCCAAAATTATATGAGTAATAACTACAATAGTAATATATTACCTTCTGAACTAATCACATAAAGTCCAATACGATACTATCTTTAAAAATAAAAAAGGAGCCTACACGGCTTCCCTGATGTCTCCGAGACAAGATGCATTTCCCACTACACACACATCCAGAAATTGAAATTGAAATATATTCCAGAAATTAAGAGTTAAAGAAGACCCATGCAAAATGAAATAACAGTAAATAAAGACTGCACCTGAACATTGCTTTCTCCCATTAGAATTTCCTTTGCTTTCTCACATAACCCTCGCACCTACAATGAAGCAACAAAGAAATGATCATGTTGGAGAAGAGAGAAAATTGGGAACTTTATTTGCTACACTGATTACAAATATTTCAGAAAAGATATGAAGTGGATGTTGAAGAGGGAGGGCTTTGATACTCAAAGCAGAAGATTATTTTTTCTTTTTTGAAAAAACTGCAGCAAATCTTGACATAGAATACTTCACAGACATTATCCATAGCCATTTCTATGGTGGGATATTTTCACAACTTTCCCACAAAATCGTTAAATTTCAGTACGAAAACATCTTTACCCCTCCTCCATTAAAAAATTCAAAATACCCAGCACCTCGCTCAAAATCATAACAAAATGATTCATCTCTAAAACTGATTTTGGTGAAAAGCAACTTCCAAATCCAAAAATAGCCCACATCAATAGTTGCCACATTTTTTTAAAGCTCATATTTTCGGCATCACTACTAAATAGAGCTCATAAGTTATCTCTACTTGTCCCAATAATTTGTAAACAAATCAAAGCACAAAAATTTAAGAAAAAGTAAAGAATTTGTTTTAAAATCACAAAAAACAGAATCTGAATTACATCACTACAAAAACACAAACAAGAAAAAGAAAATCCCCCATTTAGTTGCTAAGAAAACTTTTCTTTATATACAAACATGCCAACTCAAATTCAATCAGAATTAGAAATCCTCACAATCCAACAGAAAATAAAAAAATCCCGAGAATCCATTTCCTTTCCTATATTTTCCATGCAACCCAACCCTAATCCCCAAATTTCCCAATCAAACACCAGTCAATTATCCGCAAAAACGAAAGGAATTCAAGAAATGAAGAATGTACAGAACCTGTGGTTCAGAGAGTGGCTTGCACTGCATAAGTTGTTCGATCTGCTCGTTCAGATCACTGCTCGTATCCGAGGATATAGAATTGACGCCCATCTTGCTTCTCTCTGTTTCGAGAATCGAATTGGGATTACTGGTATTCGGATTAGGGATAACCCTAACCCCAGATTCAGAGATTGGTTCCGGTCCTCACTCTCTGATCGTGCTTAAAGCAGAGGTGAGAGGACGGAGACAAAAATGAGAGAGCGCGTGAAGGAGAGAGCGAGTGGGTGTGTAGGCGTTGCATTATACGCCACCCGCTGCCACGTAATGGTTGAATTACATAATTACCCTTACGGAGTTTCTATTCTTACATTGGACGCCGTTCGTTTCGTTAGTGTGGGATTGACTGATAGGCCCGGGCCAAACCCTGTACATCACTCTTTGAATAATTATAGAGCTTCTAAATGCACCCCATAATTTAGTTACTACACCCACGTTGAGGATTTTCTTGTTATTCCAAATGACATAAAAGGACTAACTAAGCCCTAATATAAAAATAACCATCCGTTGATGGACAGAACTTGTAATGCGGTGGGATAAATCGACAATAAGATGACACACATTTCATGACATTATAAATCTCAACAAAAATTGTATGTCATTTTACATTTATTACAATATGATATAAGTACTTTTTACACAAGTGTTTCTCCAAACCGAGAGCAATAGTTAGTCTTTATGGAGACTAATATTGCAACCTCAATTGAGGTTAGCGAGGACGCTACTAGCATTATCTTGATAGAGGCAATTATAGGTTGGCCTCCATTGATGGAGCTAACGTAATTGGCCTTGTTTGAGGCAAATAGACAAGTTTTCCAAGGTACAGAGTGAAAACTACATTTGATGGCTCATTCGGACGCACTAATAATTTTTATATAGAGAAATAAATAAATAAATTTAAATCTACTTATGTGCTTCATTTTGGCTTATAAATGGTTTCATTTCCCTTAAAAAAACATAGTAGCGTTTGAGATGAACTATTATGACAGTTAATATTCAATGACATTTCGGAGAAAGTGTTCAAAGCTTTGGTGTTTCCATATAAAAATGAATAGACTTGTATTTTACTACAATGATGGGATTCGAACTTGAGTGCAAGGGGTGGGTTCACTGTATCTGAGTAACTGGCCTAACCCACATATACAAAATCAAACTTGTGTAAATAGAAGAACTATTAAGAAATATCTTTGTAAATATTTGTAACGTCTTTACTTGCCCATATAAGTGTAGGTCAAATCCCGCTAATATTGGATCACGACTTCAAAACCTTAACATTAGGATTGATAGAAGGCCATACTTGTATATATGTATTGTACTATTTGACGTTTGGAATACAACAAAACATTCAACCATTTACTTCCTCGAGAAGAACTTACTTTGTGCCCCTTACCAAAAAAAGTGTTGGAATTCTAAAAGAAATTTAGGCGAAAAAGGGCTATAACACATAAAGTTGTAAAGATAAACCTGTGATGCGAAGTCACGGGCGCCTTGGAGGTCTTGATCAATGATTTCTCACCAAAAGGGTGGGCATTTGAACTGATGAATCGGTGTAGCAAGCCGAACCAAGTCAAAAAAATGGACAACGACTGTGTTGACCAAAAAAAAGTTCACCAATGCTAAAAAAATGGAAACGGATCATTTTGGATTCCTTCTCATCCCGGTTATTGCCTTGGAATTGAGAGCAAATTGATTGGAAGAAAGGAATATCAAGTCACATCTATTAGATATGACATAGGTATATTTAGGAGTGGCATCGTATAGGATTGAAACACATGTATTAGACCAAATTGGGTTCACATGAACACGACAAGATTATTAATCGTGTAATAATCATGTCTAATGTTTTCAACACAACCACCACAACACGATTATTACATATAAAAACCAGATGACACACGTAATTAGTTTACTATTAGGTCGAAATTGAGTTTTGTATTTGATGTGACACAATTAACTTGTTCTTTAAACAAATTTATATTTTCAACGCAATAAAAGTTTTGTAGTTGAATTCAACGTAAAGATCATACGTAGCATTTTATATTTGAATTAAACTTCTAAATTAAAGAGTTTAAAAACCATAACCCTTCTATTTTGTATTACTCTTGACAATCCTGCTCACTTAAGGACCTCAAAACGAGACGTGTTGAAAATTTGCCGCACATATTTCACATCAGAAAATCTATGTTTTAACCTCAAATCTACGGATTAACCCTCACAATTTCACGCTTTACCGCTGGGTTATTTTTATGACAGCAGCCAATAATCTCCCACGAATTGTACGGACGCCAATGAATTTAAGATATTTTTCATTTTATTTATTTTTAAATTAAAAATTTTCCTCGACACGTTTGGCAGCGTAGAAAAGGGAAAAAGAAAAGGAAAAGAAAGAGTTTTGATCCCATTTGAAAAGGAGAAGAAAATCTCAAGGAACAAAAAAAAATCTCATTGACGAAGATAAAGAAAACCAAAGCGATATCTTCGCTTGCCCTCCTCACTGCTCGTTTTCTCCCGAGGTTCGACTCTCTCTCAGTGTCTGCAATTTTGCATCTCTTAGCTATCTCGTCGTGCTTGTTAATCGTTTTGTATGTCTTAATCTGCTGTTTTGAATGCCTGCTATAATTTTCGTTTCGAAACTCGAACCTGTGTTTGTTTCTTTCCAGTTTTCGTATAACGACATTGCCCAGTTTTCTAAATTTTGATCTAGTGTTACTTTTGTTTGCTTAGTTTTAGTTTGATCTTCTTGCTCAGATTTTCATTTTGAACTTTCTGCATGATGTTTATTGCGATAACTAATCACT